CCCTTCTAAATACCCCGCCCTTTGCCATTTTGTAACCTTGACTTCTCCACCCACTCAAAACCTTACCAGGGCTTTGTGTCCATTCTCTGTTTATAGAGTTAAGATCGAGTAAAAATATTTTAGCCTAAATTTGTTCATTGTTCAATATTAATGAGAAAGTATGATGGTGAGCGATATTTCAAAGAAAGGGTGGAAAATTTTACAAAAAAATGTTTGTCGTTAAATATTTTTGAATTTTCAGCCAATAAAACAAATCTTATTGAATAAAAACGTATTATTAAATAATTTTTAAAATTCAGTTTGATACCTAAAGATGAAACAAATTTTATAAGAAAGGATTCTTCAAAAGAAATTGAGTCTTTGTCACAAACTCAAATCTTCTAATTCCTATATCTTTGCAAACTCGAAAGGTTCAAACCTTTGATAATTCAAACTCAGATTTTGTGATCTAACATAATTCATAGTTTGAAATATCTAAGGTTTGAGACATTGGGTTGTAAAGATTTAGGGATTAGAAAATCAGAGTTTGTACCAAACACTCAATTCCTTTAATATTATGTCCTTATAAGTAATAAGTCATTGAAAATTCCCTTGTTTTTCTTCGATATGTCCAGCAAGTTAAGAATATGATTTCAAATATAAAAAAATAAAATGTTTAACAATAAACAATGAAAACGTGGTAAAAATAATGTAAAAATAACAATAATAAATACTCAAGTTTGTTCACAGATGGTGATAAAACAAAATATTGTTTTTTCTTTAAACAACGAGAGAAGATAACAATACAGAACTTAAGACTCATCAAAAATAGAAAATAGAAAATAGATTAATAGAAACATGGATAGACAGATAGATCACGCACCCCTGACCCTTTAGTAAAAGTAAATTTAACACAATGTCTGACCGCGTCAACCTTGCTGCACCAACTAGTCCTATTTATTTACTCGATGTTCGGTCGATACTGTACAAACTGGGACCGGATAGGTTGACCCAGCTCGTAAATTGAAATACGACTGCCCGTAAGATTATCTACTGGATAGATGGTATAGACGGATAGATAAATAGAAAAGATAGAAAGATGAAAAAAGATACATAGAAAACATGGAAAGAGACTTGCCACAAACTATGATTTTCTAATCCCATTATCTTTGCAACCCAAAGTCAAAGACCTTTGAAATTTGAAACTAAGATTTTTCGATCCGATAGTTTAATTTGGATGGATGGATAGATAGATAGATAGATAGATAGATTGGTAGATTGGTATTGTAGTAAGATTTAAATATAAAACTAAAAATTAATTAAACCATGTTTGCGTGTGCAATGGTCTAAAAAAATATTCCAAGAAAATCTTTAGAAAACTGCCAATTATTTGATTGCATGAAAAATTGCAGTGCAGTGCAAGGCAAGCCAAGTCAAACAATTGGCATATACAAAAAGGTACATATAAAAGAGTACATACAGTACATGCCGACCTTGCAGTTAATAAGAGTACATGAAGAATAAGTGTGTGGATTAGTAAAGTAAACTGATTCAGTATTTATTCCCCAAAAAATTAACACAAAAAACATATTAACATGAAGGAGCCCGCAAACGGAAAAAATTGAAAGAGGAGGGGTCGGAGGATATACACACAGACACAGAGACAGAGACAGAGGCACGGGCAGCCGTAGTACATTTGAATTTCCAAGCCAGGTCAACCTCTCCGGTCCCAGTTTGTACTGTATCGCCCGGACATTGGGTAAATAAATAGGTCAAGCCGGTGCAACAAGGTTGACCGCGGTCAGACTTAAGGTTGAATTTACTTTTACTGAAGGGTCA